TTTAGCTTTTCTAAATAGTTTCTAACCTGTTCTTTACCCACTAAGGGCTGTCCATTTTCATCCCATCTTGCGTCACTTAGTGCATTAATTTGGGAGCCGACCTTGTCCGTGAATACAGAGGCAAAGAAAGCATTGAGTACTTCAGCTTTCCCCACATCATCTGTCACTAGGTTACCTCTTTCATCCAGTAGGGGCCGCACACCCTCTCTGATCACCTTCTTCTTGTTAACATGCCTGTAGAAACCTTTCTTGTTATCCTTCATATCTTTAGCCAGTCGCAATTCCATTTGCGCTTTTGCCTTCCTGATAACACGCCGGCATTCTCGAGCTATACCTTTAAACTCCTCCCTGGTCATTTGTCCAAGTTTCCACTCTTTGTAAGCTTCCTTTTTGTGCTTAAGTTCACCAAGGATTTCCCCCGTAAGCCAGTCCGGTCTCCTACCATGTTTGCCTCTCTTGCTACGCGTCGGGATGGTTTCTTTCTGTGCCTTCAATAAGGCTTCTTTAAAATACTGCCAGCTGTCCTGGACTCCTTTCTCCTTCATGTTAACATCCCAGGAGATTCTGCCCATCAGATCTCGGAGGGAGTCAAAATCTGCTTTTCTGAAGTCCAAGGTGTGTATTTTACTACTCTCTTTTCTTCCTTTGGTCAGGATCCTGAAATCTACCATCTCATGATCACTGCTTCCCAGGTTGTCACCCACCTCCACTTCCCCTATTAGTTCCTCCCTGTTTGTGAGCAGAAGCACGTGCACATGTAGCACGTGCAAGTCTGGATACACTTCTACAGGCAAGGATGAGTGGATTATGAATAACAGTAAGGATTAGGAAGGAGTAAATGCTGGCAGAAGCACTAGAGCTTTGTGAGGATGAGATGTTTACATGGCATTTAAAGACTCAGTGACTATGTAAAAATGCACTGTACTCCATTTCCCCCCTTGTCCGCTGTAAGTTTTAAAAGTTTACTACCTTTTACTCTCCATCACCCCACAGAGTCAATAAAGCCACAAGAGAGAAAGACCATCTCTTCTCCCCCCCTCCCCCCACCTCAGGCTCATGCACAACCAGAACTAAGTTCCAGAGGCAGAATTTTAGTACTGATGATGATGATGTGCAAGCCAGGAAGAACCCAGATTGATTTTTTTATGCGCAAGGGTGAATCTGCAAAGCTGGCATTTAGAGAAGGCTCTCTAAACTGAGTGTATTTGTGCAGGACTTATAGAGAGAATGAATATGGAATCCTATAATCCTATTTTACAGTGCACTAGAAAAGCATCACGTTTTAGATCTGCCATTTCTCAACAAAACTAACATTTTGTTTAAAAAATGGGCATTAAGTGTTTCTATTATTTCCAAGCACATTCTTTATCTATAGTTGCCCATTCCTGTGTCAAAACTCAGGACACTGCCACAAGTGCTGTCAAATTTAATAACTTTTGATAGAAAAAACAGGACTATTAAATTCTTCAAAGCCTTTTGATTAGTACAATAATGACTTACTCTTTGGGAAGTCCAGGCTTCTCAGCTGAAGTCTGTGACTCTGTAGTAGTCCACAAAATGAAATACAGGTTGAGGCTCTGTTCTGGCTCTGTCTGGTCCAGCATTTTAGGTATCTGGATGTCCACTTATCAGTGTGGTCAAGTTTCTCACAGTCCCATAAAGTTTGTTTACAGCCTCCAGTCCTGGCACTCAAGTGTTCTGTGCTGTTATTTAGTTCTAATTTACCCATGTCTTCTAAGACTCAAGTATTCTGTGCTGTTATTTAGTTCTAATTTACCCATGTCTTCTAAGAGCCCAGTAAGCAGTAGAAGTTTTGGTAATGCTGATGGACAATATTGACCTCCCATGGTTCAGCAAATTCTCTGGTTTGGCAATGGTCCCAAAGGTGCTGAACTAGAGAGGTTCATCCTGTACTCAGCAAACACTGCAGTGGCAGATAGGGGATATAGCAGAGAAGGGAGAAGAATCTCTAAGAATGGTCCATAGAATGAAGTAGTTAAACACTGAGCTAGTTGGCTAACTTAATATAATAATGTTGATGTAAAACACTGAGCTAGTTGACTAACTTAATATAATAATGTTGATGTAAGCTATTTTCTATTTAAAACAAAACCATCTATCTTCTCATCTGAAGATGTGGTGATTGATGGAAGAGGGGAATGAGAACACAGTACACTCAGCTGAGAGCATCTGGCTACGGAATAAACTCTTGGA